AGTGGCTACGCTTTTGTTTTGTCAACTCACTTGTTTCGTTTCTATAGGTTTTTAACATTCTAAAAGCTCTTTATTCCAAAGATATACTACAAGCTTGTGAATCCTCTTAAGCTGAAGCACAACTTCTACCAAATTTTTCTTGTAGCTGCTTATAAAACATACACCACTCTGTGCCTTTACTGCTTGTGTGTAATTAGTCAGTGCATTCAGTAGGCGTAATGTATTGCAAGTATTACAATTGGATTATTATATTATTATTGTTGATATTGCAAGTATTACATACAACAATAATAAAGCAGTGCATTGACATAAAAAAGGAAATTTAATTTAGGCACTTAAGTACTTTTAAAAGCAAGTACTTCTGTGCTTTTACTTCAGTAAAAATCTGTCTTTACAACTTTCACTTGTAATGGAGTAATATTTGACCAGCAGTATCTGTACTTTAACTCAAGTAATGGAACTGTGTACTTTGTCCACCTCTGCTGATATTTGTTCATTTATTTGGATCCCCATTAGCTATGCCCAAGAGCACTGCTAGTCTTCCTGGGGTCCGCACAACACTTAAAATTCATACATTATTACGTACATATAAAAATATTAAATACATTTTTCACATTCCATGAGGACCAATTTAAACATTTCTTCCACCTTTTAATATATAACTCACCTACTATAAAACTTATTGCTCATTCAATGAATTCTTATGCCTCAACTATCTATAAATACAATAATACGGTGTGCCTTCACCTGCCTTCTAAAATCTTTTTTCCGTGTTATAATAATTAATGACCTTGGTAAAAAAATACCATGATTTCATTGCCCTATATAGTACTGTACGTCTCAGAAAGTTAGTTTTAGCATTGGGGAGTAAAAATCTACTCTCTGTTGCTCGTCTAGTTACATATTCATGTGACTGAACATTGGATTGCACTGGTGACTTTTTACACACTCTTATGCACCGGCACTCGTTGACCCCACTCTGTGCCTTTACCCCAATGTATCCTCAATGTGGTGTATGTTTTATAAGCAGCTACAAGAAAAATTTGGTAGAAGTTGTGTTTCTGCTAAAGAGGATCCACAAGTTGTTAAAATCAGGGGTTCACTCACATTTTCAAGTATGCACGGTGAATGCTTAGTCAATGTCTTCAGTAAAAAATGTAACAGTACAACTGCTTGTGTGTAATTAGTCAGATTGTGTTTGTCTATAATTCTGGTCAAACCATATTGTATGATTAATCAATACAGAAATCCAGGTAAGAAGTTCAAGTTCACACACATCTTGCATGTCACTGATATTTACAACATTTTACTCTTAAATTGCTTGGATAGAAAACTGTCAGTCTAGGGTGTGCATGTACATTTGGCTGAGTGTTTTAATGACCGCTCTGTCCTGATGTTCCTCCAGATGAGCTGCCTTATCTGAAGTGTCCTCTGCATACGGTGATGAAACTCACTCCTGTTGCCTATGGTCAGACTCTCACTCTCTTCTGAAATATAGCTTTTTACGTATAGATCAGTTAGATCATAACATGATCTGATTTTCTTATGTATTTTCAGGCTGTGAAGTTGAGTCCATTTTCCTGAATGTTGAAGCAGTAAACACACACAGAGACAGACCTGTGGTGAGCACAGTAATACTTTCATACTGTTTATCTACTAAAGAGCAGCCAATTATTTATTTATTTATTTAGCTTTGGTATTTTCTTTTTTTTAACAAGTAATTGCTATTTTCAAATCCCTTAGTACTAATTTTACAATGGATCTTCAGTAATGCAGTTTTTTCCAAAATTTCAGCGCGTTCAGTTCACTTATTAGTACAAAGCTTTTCCATCTACATTTAAGAAGTGCTTCATCTTTATTTACATCTAATTTAAAGTATTTGCCTTTGATGATATTACAAACATTAAACTTTTAATTTGCGCCTGTTATGGTTGATTTTAATACATTTGACTGTGAATTAATCCAATTTATCTTAATGGTTAATCAGAGAATAATTTGGTATAGCTTATTTATAGATATAGATTAAATACAAATGGTTTGAAATTTTCCACAACAGATAACTACAGTAAATATAATGAATACTTGTTACAGTATAAGAATTATTTTAAATGCTAACAACGTTCAAAGTGTGTGTGTGTGTGTGTGTGTGTGTGTGTACAAGTCACCGTTGTGGAGATAAGCATTTGCTTTAGTTGGGCTCTTGACCCTTGACTTTCTAACATTAGTTTTTCTCTGGTTGCTGTAACTGTGTTCATGAAACACATTTGTTATGGCAAGAAAACCAGGAGAAAATGTGATCAGGTTATATTGGCTGTTTTTTGATGCTGTTGTAGTTGTCCTGCATAGCCTGATTCACTGATGTCGTCAGTGGTGATGTGTAATATAGTTTGTTATTGATCACAACTGCATTTTGAGAACTGCAATAAAACAGAAATCATAAAAGCACTACAGATTTAGATAGAATGCAATCAGAAACTCAGAAGCATGAAATGCTTATCATTAAGTTTCTTGCCATCACATATGTGTTTTATATACACAATTATAACAGCCAAAGAGTAACTTGTATTTAACAAGTCAAGAGGCAACTAACATGCATGTACAACCATAATTACAACCATATCAAGCATGACAGCAAGTTTTGAAAAGTCAACTCCTAATGTTACAAAAACAGTTTGGAAATTTACTAAAATAGAATAAAAACTGTAAATCTAAGAAGTTTTGGGAAATTGTATGACGGAAAAAAGTGTGTGTTTTAATCCATAGCAGTCTATGATGGGCAGTATTCAGAATACAGTATAGTATGAGCAAAACTGATTAAACATTAATGTCTTTTCTGTTTATCCTCTTACTGTATATTCCCATTCATGTTATATGTTATATGATGGTCAGTCTTGATGTTGGATTATGGGGCCTTGCTCATTTCTCCAAATCATCCCAGAGGTGGGTAACACTTTAGTTTGGGGACCAATTCTCACTATATACTTTATAAGTACTAATAAACAGCCAATATGCTAGTGATATGCATGCTAATAAGCAACTAGTTAATAGAGAGAATTGGTCCCTAAACTAAGGTGTTACCAGAGGTGTTTAATGAGGTTCAGGTCTAGGCTTTGTGCAGGCAATTGTGCAGGCCAATTCTTCATTCAGTTTTTCAGTGACAGCTTGTGCAAAACTTGAATTGTGACAAATTAGATTGCACATAAATCCTTTGCAGTCAGAAACTGAACTTTGACTGTGCCCTTACCATTTTTACTTAGAGGCACCACAAACAAGTGATTTACTTGGGCAGATAATTTTGTAAAATCCAAATAAGATTTACAGATCTTTATTAGAAAATGTTTAAATAATGTTTTTCATGCTTGTTACCATAATCAATTATTGAGCATATACCTGTAAAACAGTCCTTAAGACACTAACGGTTTACAGTCAAATGAAAATGTATGTCACATTTACAATAACTTAGGACAGTAAAGAGACCTTTCTACTGACACTGAAAAACAGCAGAGGAAAGATATTCATGGTTTCTACTCACCTGTGTGAACATTCATTGGTCCTGCTGCAGGAGGCATGAGAACTGCAGAGCAATAAACTGCATTGTCTGTAATGTAAAGTAAGACAGTGCTACAGGGAAGGACAGCTGGTCGTCCTTGTAATGCCAGACCACATATGAACCCCCAGATGTGTTTGAGGACTTGTAAGTGCTTTGGTGGAAGAGTGAAGTTACATCTCACAGCAACAACTGGCAAATCTTTCTCAGTTCATTAAGATGAGATGCAAAGTAGTACATAAACCCTGGACACACCACATACTGACTGCTACTTCTGATATTGACCCCCGCTCTGGATCTTTTTATGTTCATACAGATATTTACAGATAATAAGAATTCTGATGAAAAAAAGTAGTCGAAATTGGGAAGACGTCTATATGTAGATTACATTTTTTTTAATGTAAATAATTCATTATGATTTGCAGATTAATTAATCAAATTAACCACACATCAATTTTGGCTAAATGATTATATAAAGTGTGATAAATAAGAAAAGCATTGAATAGACATTACAAAAAGTAGCTTTAGAAAGAAATATTTTAATTCAGCATTAAATAAATAATGATAACACATACTGACTGCTACTTCTGATATTGACCCCCGCTCTGGATCTTTTTATGTTCATACAGATATTTACAGATAATAAGAATTCTGATGAAAAAAAGTAGTCGAAATTGGGAAGACGTCTATATGTAGATTACATTTTTTTTAATGTAAATAATTCATTATGATTTGCAGATTAATCAAATTAACCACACATCAATTTTGGCTAAATGATTATATAAAGTGTGCTAAATAAGAAAAGCATTGAATAGACATTACAAAAAGTAGCTTTAGAAAGAAATATTTTAATTCAGCATTAAATAAATAATGATAATAAATGGGTAATACTTTTTTAAACTGTTGTTCAAAAACAAATATTGAAATATAAAAAAAAACACAAATAAATAAATAATTAAAAGATAGTCTCAATATGACACTAAAACTGCCAGTAGGTAATGGCTAGAAGTTGTCTGATTTGACAGCTCTTTTTCACTCCTCCTTCATCGCAGCTGCCTGTTCTCGTCTACATTCAAGACAAAGGTATATCCTTAGTATTTTGTATCGGTTTGCTTTTAACAATTTGTCAGCGCTTGTGAAGAGTCATGCCATGATCCTGTGCTGCACCAAATGTTTGGGTCTTTGCCTGCAACTAGTACATTAAATAAATAATGATAAAAATGGGTAATACTTTTTTAAACTGTTGTTCAAAAACAAATATTGAAATATATAAAAAAACACAAATAAATAAATAATTAAAAGATAGTCTCAATATGACACTAAAACTGCCAGTAGGTAATGGCTAGAAGTTGTCTGATTTGACAGCTCTTTTTCACTCCTCCTTCATCGCAGCTGCCTGTTCTCGTCTACATTCAAGACAAAGGTATATCCTTAGTATTTTGTATCGGTTTGCTTTTAACAATTTGTCAGCGCTTGTGAAGAGTCATGCCATGATCCTGTGCTGCACCAAATGTTTGGGTCTTTGCCTGCAACTAGTATAAATATGAAGACGCTTTGCTCCTGGGTCAGCTTTTGATGGTTTAACATGGGCTGTACCCTGCATTTCTTGTTCTGTCCCACTGAAGCACACTTTGATGCAACAATTTGTGCCCTGACTAGTTGTTGATGCATCAGACAGCAAAGACTGGTTTTGAGTTGACAGTTTAGCCCTTGATTCCACTCCTGGTACTACGGTGGCCGAGAAGTGCGAAGCAAATCACAATTCTGAAAACAAAATAACAAATTACAAACGCAAATGCAAGTCTAAAAAACTAAATAACAATTCAGAAAGCACAACAACAATTCAGAAAACATTTTAACAAGTCAGAAAACACAATGACAAAT